TATTTGACCTCCAAGTGTGACCTTGACCTTGAAGGTAAGTTACTGGTTTTTGCGCATGACACATCGTCTGATTATTGTGAACAATTATAGCAATTATTTACAAAATCCCTTCATAGATAAGAAAGTTATGGACCGGACACGACATATACCCTCAAATAGACAATGTTAACCTTGAATGAGCAAGTACGACCTTGACCCTGAAGGTACGGGTCTGGTTGTTGTGCATGACACATCCTCTTATTATAACAAACATTTGTGCCAAGTAATTTCAAATTCCTTTGATAAATGACAGTTATGGACCGGACACGAAATATACCCTGTAACAGACTATGTTAATATTTGACCTCCAAGTGTGACCTTGACCTTGGAGGTAGGTGACTGGTTTTTGTGCATGACACATCATCTGATTATTGTGAACAATTATGGCAAGTATTTACAAAATCCCTTCATAGATAAGAAAGTTATGGACCGGACACGACATATACCCTCAAATAGGCAATGTTGACCTTGAAAAGCAAGTGTGACCTTGACCCTGGAGGTAGGGGTCTGATTGTTGCGCATGACACATCGTCTTATTATAATAAACATTTGTGCCAAGTTATTTCAAATTCCTTTCATTTATGACAAAGTTATGGACCGGACACGAAAGTGTGACGGACGGACGGACAGACGGACGGACAGAGCCTATTTCTATATCCCCCTTTTTTCTTCGAAAAGGCGGGGGACAAAAATATCATTTGTTAACATAAATTCCAAGATCAAGGGGAATAATTCTAGAAAAATTCATGCTAGAGTTATGAACCTTTCACACAACATGTGTGTAATGATAAGAAATATATATTTGAAGTTTGAAGTAGATACCTTAAAAAGTAAAGAAGTTATAATATTTCTTAAAGAAAATCCCAAGTTCAAAGAAAGATAAATCTGTAAATATTGCTTCAAGAGTTACGAACATTGTCACATAAAATGTAATTGATGATAAGGAATAAGTATTTGAAGTTTGAGGTAGATACCTTTAAAACTAAAAAAGTTATAGTAAAAAATAACATTTTTCTAGTAAAAAAATCTAAGTTTATGGGGAGATAATTCTTGCAATATTAGTGCTAGAGTTATGAACCTTGCCATATAAGATGTGGATGATGATAAGTTACATATATTTGAAGTATGAAGTTGATCCCTTTAGAAATAAATAAGTAACAGTAAAAAATAGTATTTTTTAAGGAAAATTCTAAGTTCAAGGGGAGATAAATCTGAAAATATTGGTGCTAGAGTTATGAACCTTGTCACATAAGATGGGGATGATGATAAGGTACATATATTTGAAGTATGAGGTTGATCCCTTAAGAAATAAATAAGTAACAGTAAAAAATAGTATTTTTTAAGGAAAATTCTAAGTTCAAGGGGAGATAAATCTGAAAATATTGGTGCTAGAGTTATGAACCTTGTCATATAAGGAACATATATTTGAAGTTTGAAGTTGATACTTTAAGAAATGACAAAGTTATAGTGAAAAATATTTTAATGCACCAAAACTTTAATCTGGACGCGGACGTGGACACCGACGCCGGGGCGAGTAGGACAGCTCTCCATATACTTCGTATAGTCGAGCTAAAAATTAGTTCAGGACAATTACTGTAAACTCTTAACAAAACTGAATAAATCCTTCTGTGAAACCCCAGGTGCACAACTTCACATGTTGATCAAAATTTCTGTTAAGTGTGTTACACATTTAGAGCTATGCGCAACACAACATTTTGGAACAGACAGACAGACAGACAAGGGTATATCTCAATTCCCCCCACCCCAAGAGTTGGGGCATAAAAATTGCTGAACATCAGTTACACCAGTGATGTTTGAAATACTCCATTCATCTTAAAACAAACTAAACATTTCAGTAGATGCATAAATGGTCATGGTAGTATAGACTGACATATAAACAAGCAATGCTACTTTAAACAACTTTATTACAATTGTATTACCTTCAATACATGTTTATTTATGATTATAGGTATATTGTTCATGACGATGTCATGTTTATGGTGATAATCATGTTAATAAAGATATCATGTTAATAAAGATATCATGTAAATGATGATATTATGTTCATGAGGATATCCTGTTTATTATGATAGCATTTTAATGATGATACCGTGTTTACGATGATATCATGTTTATGATGATGATCTGATGTTTATGAAGATATCATGTTTATGATGATAATCATGTTTATGATGGTATCTTATTTATGATGATATCACGTTAATCATGATATCATGTTTATGGTGATAATCATGTTAGGAACAATGATATCATGTTTATGATGGTATCTTATTTATGATGATATCACGTTAATCATGATATCATGTTTATGATGGTATCTTATTTATGATGATATCACGTTAATCATGATATCATGTTTATGGTGATAATCATGTTAGGAACAATGATATCATGTTTATGATGGTATCTTATTTATGATGATATTATACATTGTATTCTCAAACTACCATCATGATCTTGAACATTTAGACAGCTCTTCATTCAATGTAATCGTGAGAATGTTCTCATTTTTCCCTATTGATTGTCATTTTTCAGGCCACTATATTACCATGCAAGACAACAAAAATAGGCAAAATTTCTGTTTTTGCAAAGGCAAGAGTTCACTCTGAATATTTCAAAATCATGCAAAATATAGCGGAATTGACATCTGCTATTTATCTCATTTCATTATAAAGAACATAATTCTGATTGGTCTCAACAACCAAATTTTAATACATATATTAACTTGCAAAACATAAGCATAGCTTTTACAACTGGCAAAATCTCATGCTATAAATATATGTATGTCAAAACATTCAACATCTCTTTCCAAGGACAGCTTGATAGTGCTATCTCCATTCACCAGAACTTTTCTTCTCAAAGTGAACACAGTCTATAACAGTTTCTATTCTATATAAAAACCAGTCAAAAACCTTGTCTGTTTTTGAAAATAAATCCAGAACCATTCTGTTTTTACAAACACATGTTCACATGATGGATTTAGTCTTATAACTATTGCAACTGTGTTTAAAACATCTTGAACAAGCATTTGATAGTATTGCGGGCAATACAGTAGTCCCCTACCGGTCCCTCAAAAAGTTCTTTAATTGTCATACACTCCTGTGTATTGCCATTTATAATGAATTTGAGGATGAAGTCTGTATTTGAAAATATCGACCACAAAACATAACTAGACCTATCACTGAAGGTGATTAATACCCCCACCTGCAACTTTGACTTCATGGAAAAAAAAGTAGTCTGAAGAAAAATTTGAACACAAACTATCAACTGTGTACAAAGAAATATTTCAATTAATTGTAATCGCAACTGGGGTCTTGAAATAAGCTTGCTATACACCAAGTTTGATTACAATATCTCATTCCTAACTCTACTTATTGTCCGGAAACCATTTTTCTATTTTAAGTAACACTGCAACGTTGACCTTGACCCTAGGGGTCCAAATGCAATACCAACCCAGGTCTTCAAATAAGCTTCCTTTACACCAAATTAGATTACAATATGTCATTCCTAACTACTTATTGTCCGAAAACCATTTTTTCTATTTTTCCTAACGGTGACCTTGACCCCAGGGCCCAAATGCAATACAAACCAAGGTCTTCATATAAGCTTGCTATACCCCAAGTTTGATAATAATATCTCATTCCTAACTCTAGTTATTGTCCAGAAACCATTTTTCTATTTTTAGTAACACTGTAACGGTGACCTTGACCCCAAGGGGTCTAAATGCAATACCAACCCAGGTCTTCATATAAGCTTCCTTTACACCTAATTAGATTACAATATCTCATTCCTAACTCTAGTTATTGTCCGAAAACCATATTTCTATTTTTCCTAACGGTGACCTTGACCCCAGGGGGCCCAAATGCAATACCAACCCAGGTCTTCATACAAGCTTGCTATACACCAAGTTTCATAACAATATCTCATTCCTAACTCAAGTTATTGTCCGGAAACCATTTTTATATTTTTAGTAACGGTAACCTTGACCTTGACCCAAAGGGGTCCAAATGCAATACCAACCCAGGTCTTAATATAAGCTTGCTATACACCAAGTTTGATAACAGTATCTCATTCCTAAGTCAAGTTATTGTCCGGAAACCATTTTTCTATTTTTAGTAACGGTGACCTTGACTTTGACCCCAAGGGGTCCAAATGCAATACCAACCGAGGTCTTCATATAAGCTTGCTATACACCAAGTTTGATTACAGTATCTCATTCCTAAGTCAAGTTATTGTCCGGAAACCATTTTTCTATTTTTAGTAACAGTGACCTTGACCTTGACCCCAGGGGGCCCAAATGCAATACCAACCCAGGTCTTCATATAAGCTTGCTATACGCCAAGTCTGATAACAATATCTCATTCCTAACTCTAGTTATTGTCCGGAAACCATTTTTCTATTTTTAGTAACAGTGACCTTGACCTTGACCCCAGAGGGGTCCAAATGCAATACCAACCGGACTTTCCACATAAGGTTGCTATATATACCAAGTTTGATAACAATACCTCATTCATAACTCTAGTTATCGTCCGGAAACCATGATGTGGACCGACCGACGGACGGACGGACCGACCGACCGACCGACCGACAAGCTGACTCCTATATACCCCCCCTAAACTTTGTTTGTGGGGGTATAATAAAATAAGTTTGTCTATATCACAGTAATGTGTTAAGTTTCCATGCTTAGTAAGGAAATTATGTTTATACAACCTTGTCATATTATTACGATGTGGGATTTTAAAGTAAATCCTATAAGGAATGAAGAAGTTGGAGTGAAAATACCAGTTTCTCGAAAAAAATCTAAGTTCAAGGGGGACATAATTCTGGAAATAGTCTTGCTAGAGTATTTAACCTTCTCAAAAATGTTGAGTGATAATAAGAAACATATATATGAAGTTTGAAGTAGATACATTAAGAAATAAAAAAGTTATTTAAAAAAAGACAACATTTTTTTCCCCTAAAAAAATCTAAGTTCAAGGGAGGTAATACTGATATTTTTTGTGCTAGAGTTATAAACCTTGTCACATATGATGTGGTTGATGACCAGAAACTTATATTTAAAGTTTGAAGTAAACACCTTAAGAAATAAAGAACATATAGTGAAAAAGCTGAAAAATTTAAATCAGAAATCTTGAAATTCAGGCTATTTGTTGCCATAGCAACCAGAATTTTCAACATAGGAAAAAAGAAAAAGATGTGCATAATCTCCAGACTGCCATCTACCCATATTTCAAGTTTCATAAAAATATTTTCAGTACTTTTGAGTTATCACTGGATCCAGTTTATGTGTTAAATTTGCCATATTTTCAGACTATTTGTTGCCATAGCAACCAGAATTTTCAACATAGGAAGAAAAAAAAAAGACGTGCATAATCTCCATACTGCCATCTATCCATATATCAAGTTTCATAAAAATATTTTCAGTACTTTTTGCGTTATCGCGGGATCCAGTTTTGTGGACGGACGGACTGACGGACTGACAGACAGACGGACAGACGGACGGACAGACAGACAGACGGACGGAGGGTAAACCTAAAGTCCCCTCCGGTTAAACCGGTAGGGGACTAATAAAGACATGTAAACTCATAGTACAGTCTTATATAATCTTGACACAGATATTGTTTAACAGAAATTAAGGTCATCTATTCACAAAAGGGCTTGCTGCATCTTTTTTCCCTTGTTGTAACCCCTAAAACAATAAAATAGTTTAATTATTTCAAAAGCCAGATATTCAAGTATACATACTAATACATGCAGACTGTTCTAATAAAACATCAGTAACTTACAAGTTTGTTCACTGTTTCATTTATATTTTAAGAAAAAAAAAAATTTCAGCGACACACTTATAAACATGGATACAAACGAATAAATAAAACTAAATGAATTTCTATTTATTGATGGGAACTAAGCAATGTTTCTTTGCGATCTTACAGAAGTATTAAGAATTATTTATGCTGCATTGTAATTGCGTACAAGTGAACTATAAATCACTATAAATTTCAAAAGTAATAAATTGAGATCACTTTTTTGGGGGGCTGGGATTTTTTGTAACAACACAGAAAAGGTTATAAGGCATCTTTCCTGCTTTACTGGCGGAGTAAGAGCTTGTGTGCTCTAGATCAATAAAGTTTAGGAAATATCTGAATTACCAGACATTTTACCCGTGCAATAACTAACTTACCTGATAGTAACCAGTGTGATATCCACTCATATACCATGCCATTAACATACTACATAACGCCTCATTACTCTCCTCCGACATGTCTGGTAACTGTGGAGGAGGGGAGGTGGGGGCATAAATGGCAACCTCTGGAAAAAAAACAAACATAAACACCATGAATTCCTTCAGTACCAACAAAACAGACGGTTACACTTACAGCAACTGTGATAAAGTCACGCCAACATGGTCATCAGCATTGATCATTCATTGATTGTATAATAGACTTTCATAGTTAGGTGACCTTTCTGTTGAAAATGTGTCGGAGTTAAATCGTATACACATACATGCACAGTGCGTTAACTGGAGTGCAGGTATTACTTAGCCGCACTCCATAGCATGTTCATTAATTGGCTCTTTTTTTTCTTGAGTTTACATAATGTGACAACAGAGAAAAGGATAATTATATGCTCCTGGTACAATTCAGATAGCCTCGTGTTTCGATGCTTATTCTATTACTTAAACTATAGTAAAATTAAAAAGACCTGGCTTACTTTAATTTAACATGACCAGCGTTTACCCTTTCTATAAATTTCCTATTTTTGAACACAAATTATAGTTTTAGTAATTGGGTAAAATGGCTAATGGTAGAGTGAGCCCTGCATGACTTGGTATAATTGGTGCTGGCACAAAGTTACCATATTCAATCACACTTACTGGTGCTGCACTAAAATGTGTCGCAGGTGGCGGTGGTGGCATACCCATCATACCAGGAAACATTGGACCTGGAAATGCAGGATGTTTTGGGTGTTCAGAAGGTCCAGGCCACACAGGATGTGGCATGGCAGGGTGACTGGTTGGACGTGATGCTGGCTGAGAACTGCGCACACTTCGCCAGTCCATTCCACTATCAGTCTGAAACATAATCATGTACATGTAGTTTTTTTAAAGGTTTGCAGTTTCTACAGATTTCATTTTAATTTGATTGTGTACAAAAATATCAAATTTTTAACAAACTTTAAAATCTGTCCCTGAAACCAACCAATACTGAGCAATCAGTGTGAAAGTTTCTTACTCATAGAAACAACCACTTGCCCCCCTGTGCAATCTTTAGATTACTAGTCTGACACAATAACCACTTTGCCATTCTGCCATCATCATACAATTCATTCATTATGACTCTCCAGTAACATACATAAGGTAACATAGTGATACATAAGTATGTTTTAAGTGACATCATGCCCATCCAAGTGTAAATGGTGAGTTTACAGGTAAAAGTCAAACTAATCTTACATTTTGCCATGATAATATTTAATTTTTAATTAGACTTCACATGTGTAATCAATAACCTATGTGACTCTTGGGAAATTCTATAAATAACCTACAGAATGTATTGGTAGATATAAAGAGTGGTAGTCCTTTCCTATTTGAATCAGTTTTTGTAATTTGTCCAAAATATTCTTTTATCATTAAATATTTGCCAATCACCATTATGATAGCCAATCTTTTAAAATATATTGCTAGTTCAGCTCATCTCGACAACAAAAAGATGAGCATAATGTCAACAAATGTCCCTTTAATACAACTGGTTTATTTTCCCACTGTACCTCATTTTCTGATTCCTGCGTTGGTTTATGTTTATTTGTTTGTACCCGTACAAGATCTTTTATCATCTGCTCTTCTTCATTGCCATAATCGGCATACCTAACATAACAGGTGCCCGCGGACTCATCCACGGAAAGAATTTCAGCTTCGTACAGACATTGATCTTCTGTGAATCGGGCTCGACATCTGTCGCCTACTTTCCACTGTAAAACATTCACATACAAACAGGTAAATACCTTTTCCTGTTTCAGCAATATTTAGAAACACATTAATCACTATATTTTGGATACAAAGAATCTTAATTAACTCACTACTGAATAAGCAAAAAGGAAAGACCTATGCAAGCCAAAGTAAAAGCTTGTCCCACTATTAAAATTCCAAGTTAAAACAAATGTATCAATTTCATCAATGCGTTGATAATAAAATCTTGAAAAAGCTCTTCATAGCTTAGTACAGTGTAACTTCTGAATTCCGGAACTTCTAAAATCCGGAAACTTCTGAAATCCGGACATTTTTCAGAGTCTCAAAATTTATCCTTCTGTTTTCAATGTAATTAATACCTCTGAATTACAGAACTTCTAAATTCTGAATTCCGAACGATTTTCGGAATTTGGGTTTTTTCTATTCAAATTTACTTCCAAAATCCGGAAATTGAAAAAAAGTGTTAAGGAATATACTTGTGTTTTTGTACAATATTTAAAATGTCTTTATCTTCAAATTAGCAGTAACCATTTATCTTGAAACCTATTAGAATCACAACCTGTCAAGCGTGTCACTTGATTAAAGTGTGAAAATTAAGAAACTGAGAAGTACAATGGGACGCAAATGAAAAGATTACAGGAAAATAGCAGGTACTACATGAAATATGCTACTGCATAGGATAAATTGTGAAAATTAATTAACATTATGCTTTTGTATCAACATATCCAGTTATAGGTGATAATCATTAATGAAATAAAACTTTTTAAAAAGTCCTATAATTCTGCTTTTTTATGAATTTAATCAGCTTCATGTATTTATCATCATGTCTTACTGAAACAATTGATGTTTAATGTTTCTACTTGTTCAGATAATTCCGAACTTCTGAATTCCGGAAACTTCCAAATCCGAATTTTTTGGCTAGTCCCACAGGTGTTCGGTTTTCAGAAGTTACACTGTATTGGTATCAAAGGTAGAAAAACCAAAAAGAATATTCCCTCACCTTTCTCATTTTCTTTGATCTTCCTCGCTTTTTTGCAGATTTCTTGCTTGATTTTGGTGCAGCCAAAATGTCTTCATCAGTAACACTTAAACCATTCTGCTCTGCTGCCTTTAACTAAAACAATATAAAATTCTGTTAAATAATTTTAATGCCTATGCCTATGAAATAACCTGTCTTACATAATATACATTATTTATGTAACAAGAGCTGTCAGTAGGACAGCCTGCTTAACTTTTCTCAGTAAAACAAGAGCCATAATTCTGTCAAAATCCACATTAGAAGTATGGGCCTTCGACAGTGATGACCTCCTCACAAATAACTGTGTGAAGATTCAACCCAAGTGTTTGATGCCGATGCCTGGGTGAGTACAATAGCTCTCCCTTTTCTTTGAATGGTCAAGGTAAATCTACAATTACATTATATCTATTCTGGTGGGTATTATTTACTGTGTAATAACAAAGTATATTCATCCTCCATACTTCTATTAAAAGGTACAAACTGAAAGGTACAGCATTTTTACAAGGTGTGGTTAATTAATGCAAAAAAAACAACAACTATGTGTGGTTCAGGGGGCATCATTGAAAAAAATTAGGGTAGGTAGATAAGTTTTTTCTTTTTTTTTTACTGGCTGTTGACTTTAGTATATACAGCTGTAGCCTTTTGATCAATCAATGAATGTACTAATCAGCACGTTAATGTTGTGAAGAGATTTACCAGTAATATCATGTCCTAAATTAAATGGGATATATAGCTATGCAAGCGTTTTTGCAGGTGCTGTTCAAACCCTATGTATTTGCATGGGCTAAAATGGGAACATAAACAGGTTCAGTCTTCAATTCCACAGTGACCAATATCTAGCAAATTTTCTCTTAAAAAAAATATTGCCTTTGAAATATATATTACTTTTAAATGTTTATCACTTTTAAGCAAGTTAAGGTAGTCAGGACTTTTATCTCTTTATCTTTTTTTGGGGGGAACAGTACTTGTACAAAATGTTACTTGTAAGTGGGGAATTTTACACACAGTTTCCAATGTAGGATAATTCACGGCAATTTGCTGCACATACATGTACAATATACATTTGTAATATGACAACATTCAATGATCAAGCAAATTTCACGATGAAAAAAAAAACTAATGAAGATTTTATAAGATAAAGATACCTCATGACTTTGATACAGCTTCATCATATCGCCTTATCAGGCAGTATCATCCCAATATCTTCATTCCCATCATCCGTGTAAGACACAAAAGTGTAACCCGAAGGAAATAGCTTAATTTCATAATCAAATCAAATCTTTTAAAATAATGATTTATTCATCACAAAAAGGGCTAGGGCGTTTTTCCCCTAGCCCAGTGAAAATCTCTCGGT